GCCAACCACAATCGATATGCCGCTCACAAACACAACTCAAAGGATTTAGAGTACGACTTGACTTCGCAGAAAAGGACTTCATTGAACTAGACCAATGACCACCTCGATGTTCAAGTATACGTACAGATCCGAGTAACCAGGCATCCCCTCCACGCACAATCTCCACGCCATTCCCAGACAAGATCAAACACAAAGAAGTTCTCAACAATGAAACAGAAAAACCTGACATAGCAAACCATTCTGAAATCAGACTTGAGTTTGTTGCGAAAACCCAGTCGTTGTCATGAGAAGACACAACGATTGAACCTGGAACTTCTCTAACAAGAGAACCCAGAAGAAATATGATGTTCACCAAATACCAACGTCCATCATCCATCCTTTGGATTACAGAAAGACTATTCTAAAAAACTCTGTAAAACCCGGATGGGTGGAACCTGATCTAAACTACATTTTATGATTGGATAAATTAGATATTTTACCAATGTAAAGTATTTAATATTAACCAATCATGATCCATCTGACTAACAATCCACTTATTTGTAAGTGCTGAAATTACTTGTAATTTCAGCACCAGAGAGATTTGTATTTAACTTAGAAATTAGTAGACTCTCCAAGAAGACTTCAGCAGCCGCAATAAACCAGTATACCCTAGATCTATTGAGCCTAGCAGAGACTAGTTAAACAACCTGAGACTAGATAGTATAAGAGTAAGATTAGGATTGGTATTAGACTAAGAAGTTGCACGAATCTATCCGGCCGAAAATAAGATAGCGTGACGAGCAGACGGTGTACCCTATCCGAAATTACTCTATGAGTTATACACTTCGGTCCTAACTCACGAGTGTTTGCACTACCTGGATAGGATAGAGTACACTTGAACGATAAATGTTGATCAACTTTATCCTTTATATGTCGCAAGAAAGCAGCCAACTCACAAAAACACTTCTGAAAACAGACGCATATTTAAGCATTGGGTTGAAATTGTCAGAAACTAGAGATTTCTATACAGTTTAGTTTGAGATATGCTTAAAGTTGTTGGCATTTAATCGAGAATCATTTTTATTTAATTCCTCCCGAACTATGTTTAACGAAAGCTCAAAACCTGTTTCTTTTGTGTCATTAACTAATCGTAAAAATCGAGTCATAAAGGAGAACTCTATACTAATATAAAATACTTACTTTGCATTCATAGCTTTCTAAAAGCTGCGTTCTTGGGACAATTTTTTTTTTAGTTTTCTACGACTTCTAAAATGACTGACGAGTCTATGTAATACATAAGTAAAATTGAGCGGTTGATCAAATGTTGATCTTCTACAAACAAAAATTCATCAGAAACAAGACAGCTCGTTTATGCCCTGAATGTTCCGACTGTGCCTTAAATCATATCATATAGTTTTTCGGAAAAAATATTGAAATCTTGTAAATTTTGGAAAAAATCAAAATGTAATGTTTTGCGTCGTACGAAAATAATATGACCAATTATCTGGCCTCAATTCAATTTGGAACGATTTTTGTTGTGCGGGATAATTCACCGCGCACAAGCAAGTCACATTACGCTCTTAGCAATATGAATAAATTCTTCAAAGGCGCATAATTTAGTCCAGAATATGGCCAGTTTGGGGGCCATTTTCAAACCCCCAGAACTTTCTAAAATATAAATGTAGTTAGCCATTTTCAAACCCCCAGAACTTTCTAAAATATAAATGTAGTTAGCAGATTTTTTTATATTTGGACTCAGGAAATCGATATCTTCAATGGGGTGAAAAAATTTCCGAAAACTATTATTTCGATCGGCGAAAATTGACTGCATAAAAAAACCACACCGAGAATAAACATTCCGTTTTCTACGTTTTCAATAATGGAAAAAAGTAAAAAACGTCCTAGATTATAAAACAAAAATTGGAGGGCACAGACAATGAATTTCCTTTACCTTTTTTAGTCTGGCTTAGGATACTTTTTAAAATACATTTTTGAAAAATATTTAAGAAACTCTAGAGAAAAAAGTGAATATAACTCCTAATTGTTGCATTACAAAAAGACTAAAACAGCATTGCAAAGAGCTTTTTTATTGTCTTGCTTTTTTCTGTTCTCGCAGAATCTCATCGTACTGGGAACTTCTATGCCATATAACGATTGAAGTGTGCAATGATTTATGATAGTAAAAGACCACACTAAGCTAGAGAAAAAACGTGCCATTTAGTAAAAGACCAAACTAAGCTTGAAAAAAAACGTATCAGTTAGTTTTTATACGCAAATTTTATTATTAAATTTCCGAATTAAATTTTTGCCGTTACGACTAACTTTTTTACGCTCGTTGCTTATCAGGAAAAAATTTGTTAGAAATCAGTTCCGAGCAAAAAATGTTTTGAAAAAATTAACTTCAACTTTTATGAATATTTGACTCACAACTGAAACTTAAAAAAGTATTACATGTAGTTAGCTGAGAGTTAATTTACCAAATTGCATGAAAATTTTTTCAGATAAATCGGATACTTTTAGGTAGGTTTCAAGATAGTGGAACTGCATCATCCCTGAGAGAGGATTCCATACTGGGTGAATACATTTTTTTCGCATTTATAGGTTTCTTGAAGATACGATTTTGGGACAAAATGTCTGCTAAAAAATTTCACAATAACTGCCAAGAATATGTATTACAAAGGTAACAGTTCATTTGAACAATAAAAATTGATCACCTTTACACTTTGTTACAAAAATTAAAGCTTCAAACTCACAAATAATTTATCCAGAAGACGCGGATGTTTCAGCATTGGATTGTAAAGGTAAGTCTTGTTCTGAACGTATAAAATTTCTGCACTCAAACTTTTTTGATCACCAATCGTTATAAATTGCATTGCGGTTTTTGGAGCCCAGCAGCGAACAAGTTTGCCTGTGAAGAGAGTAGCACATTTTTTCAGTTGTTTCCACAATTTGGTTCAAACAGATTTGATTATGTCTAAAGAAAAAAGATGGAAACGAATAGCTTTAATTGATGTTCAGATGAAATTTTTTTGACAGAATTTTTAGAAAATCCATTGAAAGTCAAAAAAGTAAACAGTTCTGATTTTGCTCGAACTATCGCAAGAGGAACATTAAGTTCAGCTAAGTTGCAACTGAAATATCAAAACTAATTGATGTGGGTTCTTGTGACGTCAAACTACCATTTTTTGGTCTTTTTACACGCTCACCTGCAAATTTTTATAAGTAAAGTTAGTTTTTATACGCAAATTTTATTATTAAATTTCCGAAGTAAATTTTTGCCGTTACGACTAACTTTTTTACGCTCGTTGCTTATCAGGAAAAAATTTGTTAGAAATCAGTTCCGAGCAAAAAATGTTTTGAAAAAATTAACTTCAACTTTTATGAATATTTGACTCACAACTGAAACTTAAAAAAGTATTACATGTAGTTAGCTGAGAGTTAATTTACCAAATTGCATGAAAATTTTTTCAGATAAATCGGATACTTTTAGGTAGGTTTCAAGATAGTGGAACTGCATCATCCCTGAGAGAGGATTCCATACTGGGTGAATACATTTTTTTCGCATTTATAGGTTTCTTGAAGATACGATTTTGGGACAAAATGTCTGCTAAAAAATTTCACAATAACTGCCAAGAATATGTATTACAAAGGTAACAGTTCATTTGAACAATAAAAAATGATCACCTTTACACTTTGTTACAAAAATTAAAGCTTCAAACTCACAAATAATTTATCCAGAAGACGCGGATGTTTCAGCATTGGATTGTAAAGGTAAGTCTTGTTCTGAACGTATAAAATTTCTGCACTCAAACTTTTTTGATCACCAATCGTTATAAATTGCATTGCGGTTTTTGGAGCCCAGCAGCGAACAAGTTTGCCTGTGAAGAGAGTAGCACATTTTTTCAGTTGTTTCCACAATTTGGTTCAAACAGATTTGATTATGTCTAAAGAAAAAAGATGGAAACGAATAGCTTTAATTGATGTTCAGAGGAAATTTTTTTGACAGAATTTTTAGAAAATCCATTGAAAGTCAAAAAAGTAAACAGTTCTGATTTTGCTCGAACTATCGCAAGAGGAACATTAAGTTCAGCTAAGTTGCAACTGAAATATCAAAACTAATTGATGTGGGTTCTTGTGACGTCAAACTACCATTTTTTAGTCTTTTTACACGCTCACCTGCAAATTTTTATAAGTAAAACTTTTTCTTCTTATCTTCCGGTTATTACAAAACTTGGCATGCTGACTGAGTAGGCCATGGAAAACATAGTTGCTTTCCATATTTAAACTTTTAAAATCTATCAGTACACCATAAAGTTGATGCTTATGTGAGGTAGAGGGAAAACAAAAAGTACCAAATTTTGAGCGTTCACAAAATTAAGCGTGGTTTTTCATTGATTATGCAGATTTCTGAGAAGCCATTTGGTAAATTTATTGCTTCTAAATATAGGCGATTGATTGTTTTTCAAATAATTTTTGCATGATTTTTCTATTAGGGCATTAGTTTTGACTTCATTAAGATCTTAGCAGAGATACTCGCTGAAAATAAAGTAACGCAACCCACGTTGAGCTCCCATTGCAAATTAGCTATGGAAGTTTGTGAAAACAATGAACGCCATCAATGAAATATAAAAGAAAAAAATTTAAATAGCAAATTTCAGTGTCAAATTAGCAATTTCTGTTTTGTCAAACATTTTCAATTGTGTTCAAAGCTAGTAGTTTTCTCATGCAGATTGAAGAAATTTCATGCACTAAGTCCCTCTTTGGTTAAACTTTAAAGATTCCTATGAAAAAATTGGCCAGAATCCTACTTTCTTTCTCCAGTATAAATACGGCGATCGAATTTTATACATTTTCAAAAACTAAATCAACCACTTTATTTCTACAATATTCAATTCACAAAAAATTGTCTGGTTTCGGGTTACCGTAGGTAAAAACTACATCTCTCTAAAATATTCATTGTTATACGCACAAAAAGTAGCGTACAATTGTTCATTACTTTTCTCTTAAGAGAGTACGAAGAGCTGTGCATGGACTTTCAGTTTCACGTTGTGTGCGTGGTTCTTATCAAATATAACAAGAGCGTTAAATACGTTACATATTAAGTAAACTGCACTAGTTTTAGTTTTCTTCTTCGCTGCAGAAAAAAAAATTATTTTCACTTATGGACAACCGTAGAGTAATACCGGAGTTAAAGCTTCGCAGCGAGGTGTTCCGAAGGAATTCCGCGGCAGTAGTTCGGATTCTGCACGACAGAGCATGGTTCAACCATCCCCTCACTCATCCCGAAGACATGAGACAGTTTATCTACTGGCTTAACTTTAAACGACCCAAGTCGTGGTATGTAAACTATTTTGCGCGTCCCGGTCGTTGTGCTCACTTTTTATTTCTATTTTCTCTACCCGAGAAAGGATGTTTTCAAGTACGCTCGACCTATTGTGTTTTAAAGTTTATTTTGGTTGCTGGTTCAAAGTATATCATAGCTTAATAGGGTGCTGGTTATATGCGCCCTTGTCAATCTAAATAACTAACCTTCGGGTTAGGCCTCCGGGTTGGTTGATTTAAAAAAATAACTGGAGCCTTATATGCCACTTGCTTCCCTAGATTCGCCTGTTCCTGTTTTTGCTGTGGTCTTAAATTACAACACGAGTCATTTTGATGTTCAATGGATGTTTAACGGTAGATGCGGGGAGGGAGAGAATTCCTTTGCTCCTTCCTGGTTGTCAAAGTTCTATAAAAAAGGCTCTCTAGGGTTTCGACAGAGCTCGTGAATAAAAGAATGTGATTTTGCTTAGCTTTTACTACGCATTTCTAAGCAAGAAACCCTTAATTAAAAAATTAAATCTGAGAAAAAGTTAACGTCTTGCATATTTTCAAGTTAACCTTACCCAATGTGTCCCAGGCAACATGTTAATTGAACTGTTACCTTGAAATCTGAACTGAGTTTATTTATATTCCAGGAAAATCATGGACCCCTGGATTAAGCTTTATGACTCATGCGTATCCATTCTCCGGCGGACTTTGGGTGGAATTGCGCAACGGATGTCAGCTTTTAAATACGTCGACAGCTCAAATCTTTTAGCGTCTAAGAAAGCAGCTGAATTATTTATTGACCCTTCACTCGATTTACGACGAGTGGCGAAGTTTTACCAGCAGAATTTGGATAAAAGTTTAGGCCAGAATAATGCGAACGATTGCATGTTGCAATCATTAGATGATAGAAACCAGTTTCTGGACATTCACTCAAAAATTACTCAACTATTTGGTAAGAATATTAGAAATCGATCCTATAAGTATAAAACTTGAAGGTCGCTCTTTTCCAGTTCTTTTGTAGCATTTTTTTACTATTCCCTTTTGTAAAATTCAGTTTCATTCTGTAAATTGGGTCATTCGCTTATAACTTTCAATATTTAATCAATTTTTCGAACTCGGTTCTCAGTAAGCTTAAGATCAAGACAACTCCTTAAAATCACGGAATTCCTTTTAATTCATTAGAAAAATGGAAACAAACAAACCAATTTTTGCAACATTTCACAGAACCTAATATTTACAACAAGATTTGATGATAACACCTCTCGCTCTGACAATTTCGCTCAAGCCACCGCAAGTTCTTCACTTGGCCATGTTTTCATAATTTTTCATAACAAAAAAAATCTTTTCATTGCAGATCAGATCTCAATCCATCAACACAATGAATACATCATAAAAATCCAATTGTCTAAGCCGTGCTTGTGATTCAAATTGGAAAACTTGTTAAAAAAGAAATCAAAATGTATCTTTAGATCCCAACCAAACTACACACGCCAAAAGCATCCTCAACAACTCTGTAGACTTCTCTCGACCCCGATTGACCTTTGACCCCCTTCAAGATAGGTCCCACTTTACGTCCCTGCCCTTCAATGTGAACAGTCTGGTAGTTTCAAGGCCACTTGCAATCTCAGTCGCAGACAGTGAGCTGATGGAAGGCGTGCTCAAGGTCAAATGACAGTTTAAGTTTGAATACTACCAATACCAATCAGTGCACATTTGATAAGACTAAATTTAAAGTCCATGGGGTCAAATTAAGCAGCAGTTCCATTTTTGTTGCTATTTATGTTTTCAGAGAATCCCAGAATCGAAAAATGCACTTATGTTTCAGTTATCTTGAGGAACATTAAAAGTTCCCGGGTACGAATTTGTGCAATTTTTTTTCAAGACCATCTATCCATGAGGGGAAGGAACAACATAAGAGCTGTACAGCGCATCGCGGCGAACCGCTGTTGTGCCCTTGCTTAAGAACTACATGCAATTTTTTTGGATATTTTTGAACAATCTGAACAATCTGAATTTATTGAGTTTTGACCTCAGTGATTATAAATTTTATTTGGAGGGGGGCTGGGGTTGGCTTTAGTATTTTATTCCATTGCTGAATTCATTTGAAACAAGTAACCGGGAAGGGGATAAGATGGTGGACTGCTGGTGTTTTGGCCAATAAAGAATCATGATACCTACTTGATTCTTCTTCTGATTGAATCCCGATTATGACATAATCCTCTTCTATTTCCCACTGTTAGAGACTGTGTTTTGGTTTATAGTTTGCAGACTGCGTGGTCTACTTGTGCGAGGAAATAAGGGCAGAGTTGGAGAGACTGAACAGAGAAAATGAGTTCAGGACATCCGGGTTCCACAAAAGAGTCCAGGACATCCAGCAGTACCAGCGTGAAAAGATGATCCGGGGCGGAAACATTGTCGCCAGGCAAGCTGTCAATGAGGAAGATGACGATTTGGTTGAAAAAGAAAACGAGAGAAAACAGAAACTTCCGCCTATTGACTGGAATAAACCAGTTGTTTCAACAACTAGTTTACTTTGAATAAATTTATCTCGAAAAAAACTGAGTTCAAAGAATAGCGTCATCTTTAAAGTTGGCAACGCAGATTTGTAATACTCTGTTTCATTTAATTTGTGCAATTTGAAACAAAAATGTCAGCATTTGAGAAAAAAAGTTATAAAAGTGTTCGTGATCGAACGACGACCTGTGTTTCTGTTGTCGAACTGCTGGCAACATATCTAGCGCAGATTTCAATAAATGCATATTTTTTTGAACCTAGAACCCTGAATCTCTTAAGCACTGAGACCGGGAAAACTTAGTTACTAATACGATTAAAATATGTTTTTGACGGCATGTTCGATATACCAACCGCAATAGCTGGACGAAATCTGCAGAAGCGCGAAGTATGTGACATTCGGCCACACTTTTTTTAAACAAAATCTCTAACATAAACATTTGCAAAAATATCTTTTTTTAATGCTTGGTTTGTTCTCAATCTAAGACTGACCAGCTGCAGTACAATGACGACTCAAAAACATAGAATAAAATTTCGTATAAAAAATATCGTTCCTAGAAAAGCTTAATTATTCCGACTTTCGATACGAAAGTAACGGAATATTTGTGCTCGGGGTGGGTTTTTTTTCTTCAGACAAACTTCGACTTTTAAATAGCCATTTTTGACGGATTTTTTGAATATCATTCGAAACGTCTTGTTGTCTTGAGCTCAAATTTTAAAAAATTTTTTCACGTGTGATCATTTTTCGTAAAGTTACGGGGGTTTAAGGATTGCCATTTTGACCAATTTTGGGACAATTAACGCGCGATATATTTCGCGCTATTAATGCGTAAGCGGAGAGTTAATCACAGTCAAAACTTTCCAAATGCCCAAAAATGCCTTTTTGGCCGCCCTTTTTTCAAAGTTTTGCATGCGGCGCAGAAAATTCGGCCAAAATGATGACAAAATAGTGCTTTTGGAGAGCTCGACAAATCAATTTGGTCGACCTAAAAAAAAGTCGACACTATTGTTTTTTAAAATCCACGACCCCCCCCCCCCCCCCCCCCCCTCGAGAAAATCCTAGATCCACCCCTGAAAAAACCAATATAAATCAGATGGCAACCTAAATCATTCCAAACTGGAAAAAAAAGAAATACTTGGTCTTTTTTCATTATAATATCAGACGCAATTATGAAATTAAAACGATTGTCAAGGAGTAAATGCAACAACAAGTCAAAACTGACGAAATCGAGAAAATTGCTAAAAAATGATTTGATTCGGTTTGAATCCGTTTTAATCCCTGTAAAAACCGAAAAAAAACTTAATACTGGAAAAAATTGATTTAAGTCAATTCAAATGCAATTAGGATAGACGTGTTAGCTGGGACTTAAGATCAACTTAAATAGAGTCAAATTGGTCCAAATCAATCGTTATCTTTTTTAATCTAATGTTCATACTTTTTTCATGCTAACATTGATCCCAATTATTCTACATATTTTTTTCGTAATCCAAAGCCAAAACTTGACTAAAAATTTTTTTCTTCAAAATTTGAAATAGCAGCAATGATGCTAGCATGGGGGGATTTGAGGGGGTGCGGACGCCCCGCCTCTCAGGGATTCCACCCCCTGTCGACCAACTTTGTTCCATCCCCTGTCCACTTTGTTCTTTTTTCAGATATCCGTATTTGGCGTCGACCCTAAAAATTTCTAACGGCGTCTTTGGCGCCAATGTATACTAAAGTTGAGGTGGGAGCGCGCGCCGAAAAAGCGCGTTTTTTCGTCAAAGTTTTCCAAAAACTGCCTTAAAATGCCTTTTTTGGCCTGTTTTTTCGAAGCTTTTCCTGCGGCATAGAAAATTTGCTCAAAACAGGGTACTTTTAAAGCTTTGGGAGAGCTCGGAAAATCAATTTGGTCGACCTTAAAAATTTCTAAAAATAAATCCTAAAAGACCTATGAAAATCAGCCCCCTCGTTAAAATCCGGGGTAGCATCAAACATATGGCAGTTTTGCTTAACGAACATTTTGAGAGCTTTCAACGCCGAGCGATAGATAAGACATAAAAATCAAGATCGATATTTCAACTTACATCTAAAGTACACGCAAAATCTTTCTTGAACACAAGCATAATTGCAGTGATCGTACAGTATGAATCTAATTACAGGAGCGGGTTCGATCTGAAAGATTTACTGAGCAGGTGACAAACTGTTCAGTAAGACAAGCTAATTGAAAATACTCCAAATATTCAGCCCTTTTTAGTAAGTTTTTCAATCAAATGTGCAATACATCATTGTTGCTTATATTAAAATGTTTTGCGAAATTTGCTTAACTTTTGATGTTTTTTTGTGACTGTTAGAGCATGTTTTTGGTTGAATAATAAACTTTTGTGTAATGGCTTAAATATTAGGTTTGCAGACTCCGCAACAAGGTTTTTTTCAAATTTGGTTCTATTAATTCTTGTTCAACCTTATTGTTCCGACTTTCGATGCAAAAGTAACGAATATTTGTGCTCGGGGTGGGTTTTTTTTTCTTCAGACAAATTTCGACTTTTTAACTAACAATTTTTGACGAAATTTTCTTATATCGTTCGAAAGCTATTTTTGTCTTGAGCTCAAATTTGAAAAGATATTTCACCTGTGATTATTTTTCGTAAAGTTATGGGGGTTTAAAGATTACATTTTGGCCAATTTGGGACAATTAACGGCCGATTTATTTCGCGCTATTAACGCGCAAGCGGAGAATTAATCCGTCTTAAAATCGTTCCAAATTGGTTGAAAGAAGATTAATTGCCATAATTGATTTGTTACAACGAGCGAAATCTATCCTTTTGTACTTTATATGGCGTGTGGGGGGATAATTTTCATTAAAAAATTTCAAATTAAAAAAAAAAAAGTTTCATTTTATTTTATTCTTTTGTTTTTTTTTAATGTTATTACTGCTCCATAAAACCTCAAAAGGCAGTCGAAACATTCAGGGCTTCGCCCTGATACAAGCAGTCTTGTTGATATCATTTGTAGAAAATTTTGTGCTAATCTACTAGCCATATGGTATCAATGAGCATGGAGCACAAATTTGGGAAGTCCACCAAATATAAGTGAAATCCACAAAGAAACAACAAGACTGCTCGTATCAGGGCGAAACCCTGAATGTTCCGACTGTCTTTAGGGTTTATGGAGCAGTAATGACATTAAAAATTCAATGAAATAAAACAAAATGAAAAAAAAAATTTTTTTTTCTAAACTTTGAAATTTTTTATGAAAATTATCCCCCCACACGCCATTTAAAGCACAAAAGGATAGATTTCGCTCCTAGTAACAAACCAATTATGGCAAAAAAGCTTTTTTAAACCAAATTGGAACGATTTCTAACGGATTAACTCTCCGCTTACGCATTAATAGCGCGAAATATATCGCGCGTTAATTGTCCCAAATTGGCCAAAATGGCAAACTTTAAACCCCCGTAACTTTACGGAAAATGAGCACAGGTGAAATATCTTTTCAAATTTGAGCTTAGGCCAACAATACCTTTCGAATGATTTTTAAAAGTTCAGTCAAAAATTGCTAGTTAAAAAGTCGAAATTTGTCTGAAGAAAAAAAAACCCACCCCGAGCATAAATATTCCGTTACTTTCGTATCGAAAGTCGGAACAAAAAGTCTGTTGTTAATAGCTGCACTAGCAAACTTTTGTCCAGAGTTCGCAATTTGATTGCGAATTTGTTTGTGTTTGAACAATTCAAAAACATTCAGTTACATGATTAAGCACGTGTTAACCTATCAAATTAATATTTATAAATAAGCACATGATAAAATCATCAGCACGCACGATAAAACATCAGCAATTAGAACAAAACCATCAGCTATTGGGTAGAAACCGTCAGCAATTGGGATAATTACACAATTATTAGGAGGATGAAACTATCAACAATTTGTTCGATGTCATCACCATTTGGGATCAAATTATCAGCAATTGGCATAAAACTATGAGAAATTGGGATAACACCACAGAAATTGGGATAAAAGCATCAAAAAGTGGGATACATTTGAATTAATTGCAACGACAATTTCTTAAATACTTGTGTTTTAACCAGTCCTAAATCAAATGAAGGTTAGTGATTTTTTCTGATTGATCCATTTGGCTGAGAAAAAAAAAACGTTTTCCATTTTTTTTATATTCATTTGTGAGGCGACAACTCGTCGAAAAAGACAATTGGTGAAAAGCAACAAGTCGCACTTTTTTAAAAAAGCGACTGGTCACTCGAGGCGATAATTCGTAAAAGGCGACAATTAGCAATGATTAAATGGTATGAGTGGTTAAATACAAAATTTTATGAGTCCTGATACACATGACTGCAATAATTGTGGGATAAGAAATTGGTACTGGATTAAGTACAAAATTTTTGAATTGATATGCAAGTTGAAATTATTCTACGTTGAGGTAATTTTAATTATCAAAAATCAGTAGCACCAAAAAACAATTTGAAGATGCAGAAAAAGGCCATGTAAATCATCTGTAAACACTTCCAACGATGAGATCGTACAAAAAATGGCGAGCATAGTCATGAAACTATTCCTTATGAGCTTGAAGCCAAAAGGATTTCAAATTTTATGACACGTGCATAAACTGAAGTTGTAACTCAATCATTTTGAAACTATTAAAAATTGTTTATAAAACACGAAATTTAGGCGTGCTTTTCTGCTGGGAAAAAAGGGTGACATCTAGAAAACTGAAAGTTAGTGGATCTGAGCAAATTAATTTTTTCAAGTCAGGGTTTATTATTCTGAGAGATTGGAACCTGATCTAAACTACATTTTATGATTGGATAAATTAAATGTTTTACCAATGTAAAGTATTTAATATTAACCAATCATGATCCATCTAACTAACAACCCACTTATTTGTAAGTGCTGAAGTTACTTGTAATTTCAGCACCAGAGAGATTTGAATTTAACTTAGAAATTAGTTGGACTCTCCCGAGCACTTCAGCAGCCGCAATAAACCAGTATACCCTAGATCTATTGAGCCTAGCAGAGACTAGTTAAACAACCTGAGACTAGATAGTATAAGAGTAAGATTAGGATCGGTATTAGACTAAGAAGTTGCACGAATCTATCCGGCCGAAAATAAGATAGCGTGACGAGCAGACGGTGTACCCTATCCGAAATTACTCTATGAGTTACACTTCGGTCC